CTTGAAGAATTTTCCACACTTTGTAGTGATCCACAAAAAGATGTTGGAATAGTCAACAAAGCAGAAGTAGATATTTTTCTGGAATTTTCTCACTTTTTTGATGAGCCAATGGATGTTGGAAAATCTGATTCCTCTGCCTTTTCTAAATCCAGCTTGAACATCTGGAAGTTCATGGTTCACATACTGTTGAAGCCTGGCTTGGAGAATTTTGAGCATTATTTGGTAGCATGTGAGATGACTGCAATTGTGCAGTAGTTTGAGCATTCTTTGGCATTGCCTTTCTTTGGGAATGGAATGAAAACTGACCTTTTCCAGTCCTATGGCCACTGCTGGGTTTTCCACATTTGCTGGCATATTGAGTGCAACAGTTTCACAGCATCATCTTTTAGGATTTGAGTTAGCTCAGCTGGAATTCCATCACCTCCACTAGCTTTGTCCATAGAGATACTTCCTAAGGCCCACTTGACTTCACACTCCAAGATGTCTAGCTCTAGGTGAGTGATCACATCATCATGGTTATCTGGGTCATGAAGATCTTTTTGTATAGTTCTTCTGTGTATGCTTGCCACCTCTTCTGAATATCTTATGCGTCTGTTATTTCCATACCATTTTTGTCCTTTATTGTGCCCATCTTTGCATGAAATGTTCCCTTGGTGTCTCTAATTTTCTTGAAGAGATCGCTAGTCTTTCCCATGCTATTGTTTTCCTCTATTTCTTTGCATTGATCACTTAAGCTTTCTTATCTCTCCTTGCTATTCTTTGGAACCCTGCATTCAAATGTGTATATCTTTCCTTTTCTTCTTTGCCTTTCACTTCTCTTTTCTCAGCTATTTGTAAGGCCTCCCCAGATGACCATTTTGCCTTTTTGCATTTCTTTTTCTTGAAGATGATTTTGATCACCACCTCCTGTACAATGTTTCAAACCTCCACTGATAGTTCTTCAAGCACCCTGTCATTCAGATCTAATCCCTTGAATCTGTATGTCGCTTTCACTGTAAGGGATTTGACGTAGTTCAACTCAAAACGTCTTAGACACAGTAAATTCTAAAGAAGTGATAGCTGTTGTCACTGTATAATTGTAAGGGATTTGATTTAGGTCATACCTGAATGGTCTAGTGGTTTTCCCTACTTTCTTCAATTTAAGTCTGAATTTGGCAATAAGGAGTTCATGATCTGAGCCACAGTCAGCTCCCGGTCTTGTTTTTGCTGACTGTGTAGAGCTTCTCCATCTTTGGCTGCAAAAAATATAATCAGTCTGATTTTGGCATTGACCTTCTGGTGATGTCCATGTGTAGAGTCACCTCTTGTGTTGTTGGAAGAGGGTGTTTGCTATGACCAGTGAGTTCTCTTGGCAAAACTCTGTTAGCCTTTGCCTTGCTTCATTCTGTACTCCAAGGCCAAATTTGCCTGTTACTCCAGGTAGCTCTTGACTTCCTACTTTTGCATTCCAGTTCCATATGATGGAAGAGATCTTTTTTTGGTGTTAGTTCTAGAAGGTCTTGTAGGTCATCCTAGAACTGTTCAGCACTAGTGTTTGGGGCATAGACTTGGATTACTGTGATACTGAATGGTTTGCCCTGCAAATGAACTGAGATCATTGTTTTGTTTTTTAGGTTGCACCCAAGTACTGCATTTCAGACTCTTTTGTTGATTATGAGGGCTACTCCATTTCTTCTAAGGGATTCTTGCCCACAGTAGTGGATGTAATGGTCATCTGCATTAAATTCACCCACTCCATTTTAGTTCACTGATTCCTAAAATGTCGTGTTCACTCTTGCCATCTCCTGTTTGACCACTTCCAATTTACCTTGATTCTTGGACCTAGCATTCCAGGTTCCTATCCAGTATTGTTCTTTACAGCATCAGACTTTCACCACCAGACACATCCACAATTGGGCAATGTTTCTGCTTTAGTCCAGCCTCTTAATTCTTTATGGAGCTGTTTCTCCGTTCTTCCCTAGTAACATATTGGACACCTACCATCCTGCGGGTCTCATTTCCAGTGTCATATCTTTTTACTTTTTCATTATTTCTATGGGGTCCTCAATGCAAGAATACCGAAGTGGTTTGCCACTCCTTTCTGCAGTGAACCACATTTTGTCTGGCCCTGCCCTTCAGCCACAGTAAATTCGATTTAGGTTCCTTTCACTTTCGCTTTTATTTCTATTGCCTCAGGAGACTGGCCTTAGGAAACATTGCTACAATTTACATCAGAGAATGTTTTGTCTGATTTCTGAGAGTTTTATAGATCCAGTCTTATTTTAGGTCTTTAATCTGTTTGCGGTTTATTTTTATATATTAGAGGATGCTCTAAATTTTCTTTGCAAGTAACTGTTCAGTTTACCCAGAACCACTTACTGAAGAGCCTCTTTTCTATGTTTGTGTTCTTCCCTCCTTTGTCGTAGATTCATTTTGACCATAAGTGCATGGGTTTATTTCTGGGCTTTCTATTCTGTTCCATTGATCCATATGTCTGTTTTTGATCAATATTGTCCTGTTTTTACTACTGTAGCTTTGTAGTATTGTCTGCAGTCTAAGAGAGTTAGGCATCCAGCTTTTTTCTTTTTCCTCAGGATTACTTGGCAATTCTAGGTCTTTTCTGGTTCCATATAAATTTTAGGATATTTTGATAAGGCCCACATTAAATCTATAGTTTGCTGTGGGTAGTTTGGCCATTTTAACAATGAGAATTTCTTTTAATTATCTTCAGTTTACATTATCAGCACTTTTTAGTTTTCAGCTTATAAGTCTCATCTCCTTGGTTCAGGTTCATTCCTGAGTTTTTGGTTTTTTTTTTTTTTTGGATGCAATTTTAAAAGGGTTTTTTGTTTTTTTACTTCACCTTTCTGCTATCTATTATTAGTAGAAAGAAATGCAACTGATTTCTGTATATTAACTTTGTATCCTGCGACTTCACTGAATTCACTGATGAGCTCTCGTAGTTTTTGGTGGCACCTTATTTTCTCTCTGTAGTATCATTATCTGCATATGATGACAATTTTACTCCTTCCCTTCCAATTTGGATACCTTTTCTTTCTTTTTCCTCATCTGATTGTTATGGATGATTTCTATTAATTTTATAATGTTATTTTTACACTTTAATTTTATATTGCTCATCAAAGTTAGGGTATACTCACAAATCTCTACCTTGTGGCATTGACTTTATGGCTAACTGAACTGATCTAAATAGTTATGCTTATTTAGTATGAAACAGCTCAGAGTAGACACTCTGCTAAATCATATTGGTTTATTTAATAAATACTTATGTAGCTTTTACCATGTAACAGGCACTGTCCTAAAAACTATGTTTATTGAATCCTTATAACTACCCTATGAGGAAAGTACTATTACAGAGAATTTTAAGAAGCTCAGTCCAGGCCCCAGTCGTCTATATGACAGAGCTGGGATTTGAACTTGGGCAGTCTGGCTACGTGGTCCGGGCCTGAATGCTGCGCTTCCTTTCCATCACTCAGTCAAAACTCGTTCAGTGCCGTGCCTGTTGCTCAGCATGAGGATGTCAGGAAACAAAGGACACAAGCCTTAACTTGAAGAAGACCATTCTCTAGATTTTAGCTGTAGTCACACATTCTGCTCCTTCAACCTCAGATAAATACTGCCCATGTCACAGTTAAACAGTCATCAGAGATACCTCTTCTCACCCATGATAATGAAAGTTTTGAATAAAAGTCTGCAACCTATATAGCTTGGCTCTCTGTGACAGTGGCAGTGTATTCAGAGTATGTGTTAAGAAGTCTTAGAATAGTATGAAGACACCTTGTGTTCTACAAATATTTCACTCAAGTTTCACTCTGCTGCTGCTGCTAAGTCGCTTCAGTCGTGTCCGACTCTTAGAGACCCATGGACTGCAGCCCACCAGGCTCCTCCATCCATGGGATTTTCCAGGCAAGAGTACTGGAGTGGGGTGCCATTGCCTTCTCCCAAGTTTCACTCTACATATATATATATTTTTTTTTAACATGAAAGTATACACACCTTCATAGACTATATGTATAATGTATACATAACTAATGTTACAAATAATTTTTAAATACTACAATGCATTCCTTTTTGCTGTTAATTGTAACTGTGCATCTCTGTATCTAACTGAAGAGTATTCTTAATAAGGCAAAAATCTTTAAAACAAAAAAAATTGTTACCATTTGGAAAGTGATATGATCGTTAAGGAGAAAGGCACTAGCATCAGTTTAGTTGCCACTTCAAGCACAGGTATTTACCACGTGACTTTGGGCAAGTTTCTAAGCACCCTGTACTTTAATTTCCTCATCTGTCAAATGGCACAGTACATATCTCACAGAGTTGTAAGAAATAAAGGATGTAAAAAATATACTTAGAAAAGTAATTCAGGCAATAGGTGCTCAATAAATGTTAGACACTATAATGTCTACTACAACTACTTAGCTATAAAATCAGTCTTACCTTATTATCACGCAACCAAAATAAATACAAAATTACATTAACTTCTAACATCAATATGCAACTGAAAAATCCCATTTTTCAAGCTTTTATGTTCACTCAATAGCTGAATTATTTTTATTATTGCAAATTTAAACTAATAAATTTGTACTAATTACTACTCCAATTTTCAAATTTGCTCTGTTTAAAGTTTTGTTAGGAAAAAAAATGTGCATTTTTTAGAAATATATTGCATCATAATGAAATTTGTTTCTATGCTCTACATTGTCTATTCCAAGGGGAAAATAATTACCTCTTCCAAATATGTTTCTTTTCACAGTTATCCTTCATTTGAAGCTTGCTTTTTGAAAATACGTTGACATCAAATGATAAAGAAAAATTAACCCCTTACCTGGTAGAGTGTTTTATTTTGGTGGATGATTCTATTTATCAGCGAAGAACAGTTATTTAATCTCTCCTGTGTTTCTTCTAAGATTGATTCTTTTTTTGACCACAGGCCTGATTAGAATGTGCAAAGATACTTTAAATGAATGACCTGTATTTGTTTTGTCTTTCTTTTCTTGCAGTCATTCCCAACACAGCACTGCAACCCGCCAGCCTTCAGTGACTCTCCAACGGGCCATCTCCCTGGAAGGGTAAGATAAGAATAATACAGAATCTTCTTTTAAGCCAAACTCTGCACCCTCATCACTTTGAGCATAAATTCCTTTTTCTTTCCTTCCTTCCACCTTCCCTCCCCACTTTGCTCCCATTTTTTCCTTTCTATTAGCAAATATCTCTAATGCTTTTGTTATATGCCAACCACTGAGCAAAGTACTACAATAAGTGAGAGCTCTTCTTTTCCTTCAGAGGGATCATTACCTATTAAGAGTGACAGAAATATAGATAGATAGCTACCTGTATATGGTATAAGCATCACACAGGACATACAGATGAGGGATTAAGGAAGGATCCAGAAAGGATATTTGACTGAGAATGGGTAAGAGAGAGGGAGGGGGAAACAGGTCAGGATGGTTTCAGAGAAGACCTAACACTCAAGCTAAGAACTGAAGCATCTGTGGATATTGGCCTAACAGACATTTAAAGGAAAGGCACTCACTACAGGAGAAAGAGCACATGAAGAACCATGAACACCTGTGAGGTGAGGTGCCCAAAGGCCACTGAAGTGATTGAGTTCTGTGGCACAGGGCATGCAAGGCAGAAGATGGGAGTGGCAACGTTGGCTGGCCTGGCTTACATATAGAGGACTTGGTATTTTGCATTTCTAAATTCCCACATCAGACAGAAGCTGAAGGAGCTAAGAAAAAGGGGCTAATATTTCCCTCCACTGGCTTTATAATCATGACTGGTTTAATTGAGAACCTTTAGCTGGTTACTGTATAAAAATGAAATCATTTTATTTTTCCAATACCTGTTAGCATCTATGCTTTGTTCCATCCTATTTCCCACTGACAAGTAGGCTTCCATAATGGCATTTTAGTTCAAACCTCTAACTGCATTAGTTCTCTCCATTTTGAAATCTCGTGTTTTAGTCAAACCTCTGTCTCTCTTTCCAACATAATTAAGACTTGGGGTCCACCAAAGTGCTCTGCAGATGATAGAGGCGTCATCTGCTCTCTTTCATACCACCCTCTAGACCTTCCTTTCTCTTAGATTACTTCTCTGATAGTTCTGATGTTCAAAAAATGGAAAAATGGCGTTTCTTATAAGTATAGCTCATTCATTTTGCTGTACAGTAGAAACTAACAACATTGTAAAACAACTATACTGCAATAAAAAATTTTTTTTAATAATATGTCATTTAATGTACAGCCCTCTGTCTCAAAAAAAAAAAAAACTTATATAACTGTGTCTGGACTGCTTATGGGTACTTCAGCTCTCAGAGCTTCCTGAGATGCTACCCTCATTTGGCTCAAATAAAATTTTCCAAGTCTTTTTTAAAATATGAGAAATAGTGCTTTCTTACCGTTCACTAGTGATGTAGCCTGCATGGGTGGAGAACCAAACCTGCACCAATGCAAAGAAAACTGAGCAAACCCCCACCCAAGATGTGGTCCCCTAGGACCTCCGTCATCTTCAGACTCCCTGGAAGCAGCGCACTCTAGTCTTCTGACGCATTCACCACTTTGCCCAAGCAGCGTCAGTCCCTCCTCAAAAGTATACAATCACCCTTTCTCATCTGTCCTCAGCAGCTTCAACTGTGCGGCTTGCAGACATGAGCAGCACCCATCTTTCCTCCCCTTCAGGTGGAACTTACCCTGGGTTAGTCCTTGCTGCCTTTCTCCTTGCCCAACTTTCTTATCTTCTGCACATCAGCAAAGTCCATAAGTGGACATAGACTTGGGAGGGAGATGTTGACCTCCCTTCCTGGAAAAAACATAAATTTTAGAAACACTTTTTTATCGGGTTCCCTTTCTTGCCTCTAGCTAACAAAAAATCCACTGCATCACCCCAAACCCATAGGAACATGAGTGAAAGGAATGTGACCTCTATAAGACCAACTGCCCTCCCTTCTAAAAAGATACCTCCTCCTCCTCCTAGTCCTCTGCCTCTATTTTTGATGGTAAAGAACATCAACCATTCTAGCTCCTCTATTGAAAAAGAATAAAACTGAGATAAGAGGGGTGAGGGGTCACAATAGTGCAATAGGAGCATGTGGAGTTCACCTCTCCCCAGTTACATCGGGAACGGACCAGTTCTCACAGAGCACGTGCTGAACACTAGCTGAGGACCTCAGACACCTGAAAGGATAAGAAAATCCCCATGCAACCAGGCAGGACAAAAGAAAGCCAAGAGGAAAGGGGAAGGGACCTGCACCCCTGTGGGGGAAGGAGGAGAGGTTCCTGAGCCTGGGGAACCTCCTCTTTCTGGTGGGGAGATCAGCTGGGACAGAGGGGAGTTTCAGGGGCTCAGAGGAGAGCGCAGCAACCAGGCAGGACAGAGTGAGCCCTGCGTGGCCGGTCTGTGTCACAGCCCTGCGCCTCCCAGCCTGAGATTCGTGTGTGCTGGTGTGGATGGAGGCTGGGTGCTGGAACCCGGGGTTTGGAGGGTGGGCACAGGGAGGGGACTGCTGTCAGCTGCAAAGAGACAGCCTGAAGGGACGAAGGGACGGGCATAAGGGGCTCCACGACAGGTCATGTTTGTGGAAGAAGCCCGGGCCGCCCTTGCTGCCCACTTCCCCACAACGCCTGCCCCAGCCTCCCCAGGCCTGTGCAACTAAGGGGCGAGGGCTGAACTCTCTCCTCTCGGCAGTGGGGACCTTGGATCTACGCCTATCCACCTCCCCACCACCCCCAGCACCACCCCCGCTGGCTTTGTAAACTCAGCGCCTGCCGACCATCTGAGTGAACAAGCGCTCCCACCACTGAGAGGAGTCTAGCGTTAGCAGCTGCGGGCTTTGCGGGCACACACACGTAGGGATGGGGCCAGGCCACCGTCGGAGCTGCCTCCATAGCTCCCGGGCCAGTCCTGCAGAGTCACCGCAGTCCTGGGATCCGACTTCCGAGACGCGAAGCTGGTAGCCTGGTGAGAGCAATGCCTGAGAGAAGCGAGGGCCAGTCGCAGACAGAGCTGTGGTTGAGGTGGGGCTGAGAGCAGGTCCAGCGGCCGCGCAGTGTGAGAGCCGCAGTGGGCGAACGGTGACACAGCAGAGCGCATGCACGGGTGGACCGCGCGAGGAGGAAAGCTCAGCGCCGCCTCTGCCAGCGGCTGTGCTCCAATCCCATCTGCCGCTCGTCGCAGATCAGAAACTCAGCTCAGAAACAGGTCTCAGGGTCCCCGCTCCGACCACTAGGGAGCGGACCCTGACCCTGACCGGGCAGTGACAACCTCAGAGCAAGGGGAGGTCCACTCAATATGCAGTGCAGGCTCAGGTCACCTCACCGCCAGCCAGACCTTCTATCAAGGGAACGACGCCCAGCATACATGGAGGAAAGGATGTCTGCATACAGATGGCAGACATCCATATTTTACAGCCCTACCAGCAAAATGGACTTACCGGGTGGCTCAGACAGTAAAGTGTCTGCCTGCAATGCGGGAGACCTGGGTTCAATCCCTGGGTAGGGAAGATCTCCTGGAGAAGGAAATGGCAACCCACTCCAGTATTCTCACCTGGAAAATCCCATGGACAGAGGAGCCTGGTGGGCTACAGTCAGTGGGGTCACAAAGACTCGGACACGACTGAGCGACTTCACTTTCACTTTCACCAGCAAAAATGGCTGATAGTAAAGAATCTGCTTGCAACGCAGGAGACCCAGGTTTGAGCCCTGGGTCGGGAAGATCCCCTGGAGAAGGAAATGGCAACCCATGTCAGTATTCTCGCCTGGAAAATCCCATGGACAGAGGAGGCTGCCAGGCTGTACAGTCCATGGGGTCGCAAGAGTCAGGCACAACTTAACACTTTGACTTCACCAGCAAAAAATATTAAGCCCACACAAGCTACACAGGGACATTCCCACATAAAAATAGCACTCCAAGACAGCCTGCGGGTCAGGCATTCAGAGGAAGAACCCTCAGAGCATTTGGCATTGAAGGCAGGCAGGTCCTGGGTGTGGGAGCACCACAGGGCTGAGAGAAGCAGAGACTCTTGGAGGGCAAACACCAGGTCTCACACATACCGGGACCCAGCACAAGCAATACCTCCATACAAATACAAATAAACTCAGAATGGTTTAAAGACCTAAATGTAAGATGGAATACTGTAAAACTCCTAGAGGACAACATAGGCAGAACACTGACACAAATCACAGCAATATCTTTTTTGATCCATCCCCTAGAAAAATGAAAACGAAAACAAAAATATATTAAACTTAAAAGCTTTTGCACATCAAAGGGAAACCATCAACAAGTCAAAAAGACAACCCACAGAATGGGAGAAAAATATTTGCAAATGATGTGACCAACAAGGGATTAATCTCCAAAATATATCAACAGCTCATGCACCTCAATATCAACAAACAACCCCATCAAAAAATGGAGAGAAAATCTATTAATCAATAGACATTTCTTCAAATAAAATGTACAGAGAGCCAAAAAGCCCATGAAAAATGCTCAACATCACTAATTATTAGAGAAATGCGCATCAACACTACAATGAGGTGTCACCTCACACCGGTCAAAAAGGCCATCATCAAAAAAATCCACAAACAATAAATGCTGGAAGGAGTATGGAGAAAAGGGAACTCTCCTACACTTTTTGTGGGAAGGTAAATTGATACAACCATTATGGAGAACAGTATGGAGGGTCCTTAAAAAACTAACTATAGAACTACCATATGATCCAGCAATCCAACTGCTGGGCATACATCCAGAGAAAACCATAATTTGAAAAGACACATGCACCTCAGTATATACTGCAGCACTATTTACAATAGCCAAGACAGATGAATGGATAAAGAAGATGTGGTCACATATAACACACACACACACACACACACACACACATATATATAATGGAATATAACTCAGCCATAAAAAAGAATGAAATAATACCATTTGCAGCAAAATGGATAGACTAGAGATTATCATATAAGTGAAGTAAGTCAGAGGAATACAAGTATCATATAATATCATTTATATATGGAATCTAGTAAAAAAAAAAGTATACAAATGAACTTATTTACAAAGCATAAACCGA